CCAGTCCCGGGAGAGTGCATCGTCTGTGGTGGTTTTCCGTGCCCACCAGATGGATCTCTCCGTGAGCATGGATGGCAGATGCTGGCGACACCGATGCCGTAAATGCCACATTGTGTTGGACAACAGTCACCGCAGGTGACAACAGATTGACCCTGCACCATGCTGTTAAAGCGGTGAAGGGTGATAAGACTGCTGTCATTTTGATAAAGTTGATGTGGAGGGTGGCCTTTGCTAAAGTGCAGAGCCCGCCATTGGTGAGATTCCATCTCCGCGCCCCAAACCACCAGAGACGTATCTGTTGTGATCGGAAAGACCCTCACTGATTTAGTCTGGTTGGATTCGCCACTGGGATGTGGCCAGGTATTCTGTGAACACGATATCATGTGAGAAACAGGATGGAACTGTGTACAGAAGGGGACCAGAAAATAGAATTGAAGCGGGCGCATAAACAGGTGGCACACCGGACTAAGTCCGTGAGGTTCACTGTTCTCACAATTCTGGTGAAGACCCCGAATCTGGCAGGCGTGTGTGTCCAACTAGGGCACAGTGGTTTAAAACCATATGTGACCCAGACATCAGTATATTCCAGGACAGTAAATGGTCAAATGTCCTATAAAATACATCAAGCATGTTTAAATACCATCTCTGGGTACAGAAAACTAGGCTGGCAATTATCTAAAAACGTAACTCACCGAAATTGTCAAAAACCAGAGCTAAATTTCAAAGAGGGCGCTATTTATCAATGGCACCCTCTTGTCACAATTTTTGCATTAATGTTTATTACCCTTTCCGTCGCCTCTCACCGTACCGGCACGGAAGCCAAACATACTTTTTGTTGTTGTAATTTTGGATTTACTATGTTAAATAAAGATTAAACCAGTTTACAAAGGCAAATTTTCAAGGTGATTATTTTGTTATAATTTTTTTAAGTTATATTCCCTGTGATAAGGCCATTTATTTGCAAAATGTTATGATTAATCTTACTAATTTTTCCTGTTGTATTTTACCGTGGAAATCCGAAAATGGTACTCTTAAGTGGGCAGCCAGTATTTGTGCATTCTAGGAGAAAACCTTTAATCCTTGAGACATTAAATTTGTGAAAACAGATAAAATCATATATTGGGCCACTGCTCTCTTACAAAAATGGCTTTCCTCAATTCATCTAATATCGCGCCTGCTGCTGGCGTGGTCCCACTTCATCTAGAGGATTAATTCTCAGGCGATCAAGCTCAGCTTAGAAATGTTCAGTTCAATATGTAAACTTCCCCTGTGTCAGTTGTAGTCTATTATAAGTTCTTATATAATCCGGCCTCTTAATCCGCCCGACCCATTTATTCCATATCTCCTCATTTAGAGGGTGGCATATTTGATTGTCCATCTTCTTGTCCATTGGCAAATTAATGAAACAGAAAAAAATGCGAGACCATGCACAATGGAGGAGTCCTTGTCATAAGAAGAAAAAGGGGGACGAAAGGGCTTGGTTTCAGAAAAGTCACACAGAAAATAAAATTCTAAGAAAATACTATGATCTCAGTGTTGACATTTAAGCCATAAGATGTCTAATTTACATCACAATGACAGCTCTGGTCCGGTACGGAGTTGTTGCTGGACATATCAACAAATCAGTCCTTGAAAGTATCTGGCTTCTCTGGCATGTCTGGTTGGCTGAAACGGTGTTTAATGTTTTTCCTGGCCTTGCAAGGCCTAAGACATTTTATTACAAGCACAAACAGCAGGAAATGTTGTCGTTTGGCAGACCGCACCCAGTGTGGGCCTACATCAAAAAGTTTACAAAAGATGTGATCTCTTCATCTCTAATTCTCTCTACATTTCACATAACAAAGAAAACCATTAACAGCTAAATTTATTCAACAATTGTTTACTGTAAATCCCAGTACCCGTTCGAAATGAGTCAAACGGGTTCTCACATCAGGCGCGAATTTTGCATGCTGTGTTCAAGAGATATGGCTTAAAGGTCAAAAAATTAAAAAAAATCAAATAAAATCACACGATGACGTCATCATGACGTCATTTCAATTTTACCTATAACACATCCCGGTCTACCTACATACCGAGTTTCAACCAAATCGGACTTACAGTTCTGTAGATACAAGACATTAAAATATGCACATTTCAGATGACGTCACGTGACCCATGATGACATCACCATGACGTCACTCTTCGGGACACAACTTTGCTATATAGGGACAATGCCTGTGGTAACTTTGAATGTGTGACAAAGATAAATGGCAAAAGTGCCGGACAGAAAATTGTACACAAAGTCTATGGGATTTTGTGTGGAAGAAGAAGAAGAAGAAGAAGAAGAAGAAGAAAAAAAAAATCAGAACAAAAACAAATGCTTTTTCGCAAATTTGCGAAAAAGCTAATAATGCGAAACACCCCCCCCCCCCACCAACAATTCTACTGGTAATAATGTCTGCCTGTGTACAAAATATGGAATACGTACAGAGCCAGCTTGGTTAGGGGGTTTGATACACTATTCTGTAATATAGTGTTAATAATCGTCGGATTGGAACAGCGCCCCCATTAAAAGTATGGTAGGAGGGCCCATTGATTTTGCGGAGCCAAGTGTCTGTAAAAACCTGTCTACATTTTAGCATTGATTTGCAAATGAACCCCCGCCCTGCACAAATTCCTGGATCCGCCCCTGCCCCGTCCCGTTGGGGGGGGGGGGGGGGGCGATGTCTGCATGCATATTCACTTCCGCCAGCGGACCCGTGGCTGAAAAGTGGCGGTAGAGGCTGAAGGACAGAAGGTGGCCCGTGGATTTGCAGGGTGTCGAGCGGTGGAATGAAAACCACTGCTTGACGGCTGTGGACAACGGGGAAGACAGTTTTGGACAAACCGTTGTAAAAGTAATCTTCTCCTTAGAAGTCTTAGAAGTCTAAAAGGCCGGCAAAGAGGTCTCGCTGGTAAAGCAGTGGATGACAATTTCAGCACGGGGAAAAACCCGTATCAAGTGATGGGTAAAAACCGGACGGCAACTGGAGTGGTCGGGACATCCGGAACGATAGTGTGGCGGCTGGTACAATCTTGAAGCGGCCAGAAGACTACTTTGGGATTTGCTAGCAGCAAAATATCACCCTATTAAACTGTTGAAGGTGAAAGTATAGAATAACTGGTGGAGCATAAGGTATTTGCTAACAGCGAAATATCACACTGACAGTAAGTAAGTTGTGTCGTCAGAGTTAACAACTTGCAGTCAAATATGTGAAGTCTTGGACGTTGGTCAATTCACCGCTGTGAGATAACGAAACTGCCGGTAAAATAACGGTGTTCGTTTTTAAGGCAAAAGCACCAAAGAATCGGTGCAGCATGAGGGATTTGCTAACATCGAAATATCACGCAGAATGGTCAGTAAGTTGTGGTGCAGCAGTTAACAACTTTCCGTCAATGGGAAGTCTCACGTATTGACAAATATACCACTATGAGGAAACGAAACTTCTGGAAAACTAACGGAGTTTGTTTTGAAGGTGATTTGCTAAGTAGCAAAATATCATGCTGATGGGTCGGTAACTTAGTAGTGTAGGTAAGGGGTGAGCGGCTTGCAACTAGTGCGACGTGCGCCCCATGCAATGTCTCAGTTGTTTGGCACAGCAGCACAGCTGTGAGACAACGAAAGCTGCGAGTTAAATAATAGCAAATCGCTGGTTATACATGTATAGTGGCATTTATGTTGAAGGCAAAAGAATTGAGCATTCAGTGCAGCGTGAGGGATTTGCGAATAGCGAAATATCACGCTGACTGGACGGTAACTGGTAGCGTAGGTAAAGGGTGACTGGCTTGCGACTCGTGCGACACTCACCCTGTGTAAAGTCTCACTCATTCAGTACAGCAACACTGCTGTGAGACAACGAAAACTGCCGGTTAAATAACAGGGTATCGCCGGGTAAATAACCACATTTGTTTTGAAGACAAAGACACCAAATATTCGGTGTGGCACGAGGGATTGGCGGAAGTGGCGAATATCATGCTGCTGGGTCGGTATCAACTGCATAGAATTTTGTGCGTATTTTTGGCAGTTTTGAATCCTTTGATTGAAACAAATTTTATTTTTTTAAAGGTTTTTGATTTGATAAGTACAAAACAATCAAGAGATCACATGTCCTCTTTGATGACTTACCTCCAGAGATGCCGTTTTTTTGACGAGTAGCAGCTTTTTCCATGCTTTCCTTGATGCAAAAGTACAACTCACGACACTAAAACCAAGATAAGAAAAACAGTAATAAGCATAGGAAAGTAATAAAATGTGATAGAAAGTGAGGAAAAGGTGGGATTTTTAATGTTGTGAATATGGAATTGAGACTTAGGAGGGGTGTTTGTTGCCATTAACAGATAAAGTACAGATCCACAATGACTCCCAAAGAATTACAAATGAGTCAAATGAATAAAGGTGGAGAGACCATGGATAAGTATGAGAACTCAAAAACGATCCCAAACCTCATAAACCCTCAATCTGCTGAATTCATGGTTTTAGTGTCGTGAATTCAGCAGATTGGAGAAGACAAGCTCTCCATGCGAAGATGCCTCTGTTTAAACAAATTCCTTTATACTCATGTATATAAGACAAAGCATTTTAATTTCTGATGAACTGTTAAGATCACCGAGGAATGAATTCAATTATTTGTTTCCTTTTATATATTTATGAATAAATACCTTTTTAGTGTAATACTTGTCCAGACGAGTTGTGCTAGTAAGTCTTCGTGAGAGACACAAGACTTTTGTTTTAGGGCAGTAAGTCATGTTGATGAGTCTCTCATACCAGCAGCGATCACAAACAGCACCACTTCCACTACGTATGATTACGCAGTCATCACATACCTAATACACATCAGACAAATTGACACATCAAATGTGAACAAGTGGTGAACACCCACCAAAGGCTAGAATTATGTCAATAACGTGTACCAACAGCTGAAATAACTAGATTTATGTGTGTGGACAAACACATGGTTGTCTCGGCATTTTGTTATTGCATGTTTATGTCATGGTATAGACTGACAAGACATACATGTTTCAGAGCGATCAGATGTGTATTTCTGAAGATAGCACACTGTTAAAATGCAACGTCAATGTTGCGTCAGTGACAAAAAGCTTTAAAAGCACATTCAATGAGACATCACTTGACATGCGATAATGTCACCATAACTTCACCGTATTTGTTTTACTTTAGTCTGGTTTAGACCTAGAACAAATTGCAATAGCAACCATTCGAGCGTCGAACGACTTCAAATAAATACACAATCAACATGTGGAAAATGTAATTGTTTCTATGGAGTGGAAGGGTGTTTTTTTTCAAGTATTTTTTTTGTGGTTAAAATTTGGGACGTTTTGTCCTCGAACAATTCGGCTGGTGATTTGCTTCGATTTGCATGCTTTCATAAGCTAATGTTTAGAATTCATGACCACATGCGAGTGCAGCAGACGACATTGCGTCGGAAACCCCCCCCCCCTTTTTAAATAAATTTTTACAGTGAGTTTTATATTAAGAGCAGTACATGTTTGTAACTTGGCTCAAAATTCTACTTTTGACGGGGATATGTCTGTTTCAAGTCATAATTTTATACATGGCACTACGGATAGAGTGGACTATTTTCCGCCTAAAGGCTGCAATAAGTCCACAGACGAGATACGATTATTTGCAAAAAGGGATGTCTAAAAAACATGTTTGATCATACACAGATGGAAAATGGTTAGTCAGTGCATGCATGACCATTTTGACAGTAAAGCAAAAAATCTTTAGTAAAGATTGTTGATTAAGTGCCTGAAAATGATTTGTTGTATTTGGTTAAGAACATTCAGGAAGTTGGGTTCTGATGCCAGATACAATACATTTGTTAGTACATGAAAATATGAAACAAAGCATCTCAAAACACAAACAAAACAAAAACGTCTATGAGGTTGATGAGAAACAGATGTAGTTCTGTATATAATTGAGCTTTGCATATGTCCGTCACACATTTTTCATCAGTACATGTTGTAACTTAAACAGCTAAATTAAGATCCTGATCGAGGTATGAGCATTGATATGATTGAGACATCTGCTTGTACTGTCAAGAGTGAAATGCACTAGACCTACTCCAGAAGCATACTGGAGTCCAGACGAAATGATTCTTTGGATGGAACAGACCTTGCGTTGTTATTACTTTCATTTCATGGTCCACGACCCCCCCCCCCACCCTTAGGCTTCAATATGGGGTCACATATATATTATATTTAGAGGTAATACACTTGTCACACTGATTAGTTTCTTTTCTCTAAAGCCTAGAATTCAGCTAAATTTTCACTACAGGATTTTTAACCAGTTAATTTGTCTTCATTAAGTTTTTTTAGTAGTATACATTAATTTGTTGACAATTTATAGGTTACTTATAGGTTATGCCAATGACCTTAATTCATCACAAAACGAACACACAAATCCCTCCCCCACAGAAGTGTGGTTGGGGTCTACGAACGAATACTTACCTGTAGAGCAATACTACTTATGCATATTTCCCCTACCGGCAGGTATTTTCCGCTAAGAGTTATATACAACAGCGCCCTCTGGCGCCCTACCCATAATACTCCGCGGCATGCGTGCCTCGTGAGCGTCCTCTTTTCTCGAGCGCTAAGTCGGAATACAACTAAGTACCCAAGGCATCGAGAAGAGTGGGGTAGGGGGGAGGGATGCTCTACAGGTAAGTATTCGTTCGTAGACCCCAACCACACTTCTGTGGGGGGGGGGGGGGGGGGGGGGGGAGTCTACTTCACTTTACTTACCTGTAGAGCAATACTACTTATGCATAGACTAGCACCATCAAGGAGGTGGGTCATGCGAGATGCTATTGTGCTTTCACAGGGGCACGTAACAATACGCGTAAACCCTGGATGGGCCTGTCGCTCCACATGTGGGTGGACAAGGCAGCCCAAAAAGGTCGGCATGATAAAGACATTAGTCATAATGGTAGCCTCAACATGCCAACAGAGATGTGATCCCCGATTTTGGGAATCACACGTAATGAATTACAGCCCACCGTAAGAGTTCGGTGGGGCACACAAAATAAAAATTATCATGAAAGGCAAAACATCATGACATGGTAAATATAGACACTATTATGCACATGTACATGTACAGAGCTCAATAAAGAATCAGAGTTAGGAGACACCAATGCTGGGGAGGTCTCCGGTCTGAAAATGTCCTGAGAACATGGTGGGGCTCAGTCAGTCGCTCTCAACACTGTTCTCCCATGCTCTGCCTTTTATTTTGCGCATGCGGACCAATCACACGGATTCTGCCGTTGATACGTCCGTGGTTTCATGGATGACCGTAGCCAACCTTCAGGCAATCTTGTCATGAAAGCCTGCAGGTATGGTGGGGTCACCATGATAAATACATGTCATGAAAGGCCTGCCTGTATGGCAGGGTCGTCATGACAAAAAACATGTCACGAGAAGCCTGCTTGTATGGCAGGGTTGTCATGACAAATACGTGTCGCGAGAAGCCTGTTGGTATGGCAGGGTTGTCATGACAAATACATTTGTAACTGCAAGTGACCGATTCAAAGCGTCCCAGTGCAGCTAATGTACGACATTAAAGTCATGATTGGCACCAAAAATTCTCCATCTGGACAAGAATGATTTGATGCCCGGAACAAAGACGTCCGGAGGCACAGAGGGCTCCGACAGTCCTTAGTATAAATCCCTCCTTAGGGAGCAGACATCAAGTCATGATCAGCACCAAAATTCGCTGTCTGAAACGGACAAGAATCATTTGATGCCCAGAACAAAGACATCCGGAGGCAAAGAGGACTCCGACCGTCTTAGCTCAAAAAACCTTCCTTAGGGATCAGACGCCAAAGTCATGAGCGGCACCAACATTTTCCATCTGGAATGGACAATGATTTGATGCCTAGAACAAAGATGTCCGGAGGTAAAGAGGACTCCGACAGTCTTAGTTAAAAAACAAAAATCCTCCCGTAGGAATCGGATGGGCACACTCGGTTCCCATCAGATGTCTATTATGCAGAAAACAGTTCTTTACTACATGTATACAAAGAAGTAACAACTGCTTACAAAAAAAAGGCAACCGTAGGAACCAATGAAACAGATGTGAAATTGTTCACTGTTTCACAGAACTCTAAAGATCTCTATAAGACTTTTGGATAAGAAGGTGTTGAAGAGGTCCTGCAATTCAGGGGTGTTAAAACATCCCCTTAAGTTAACTGACATGGACGTTCAACTGACTAACATTAAGTAATCTACTGTCGTGATAGAAGTCCCTCAAGTGCAGGCTGTAAAAGCCATAGCTTGTTTGAGAAAGGTCTGATGTGAACAGGAGAGCATTACAGCATCCAGTACATCAGGAGAAATTCCTGCGGAGCTGGGTGAAGGAAACCCAAGCTGTGCTGAAACAGAATATTGTTCTGCTCGGAAGAACATTTGTACCTCCAACTGGTGAATCAAGGGAATGGTTATAGCCCTGGAAAACCAATCAATGGGGTCAACATGGAGTTAAGAAGAGGACCTTGTCGTCCTTCTGCTCCAGTTGATTAAGTACCCGAGGGATAAGAGGAAGACGACAGGAAGGTGTATATAAGCAGCCTGTCCGTCTTCATCACCATCGTATTCGTGTGCCATGTGTAGGGGTCAGGAACCCTCAGGCATTAGCCTGGAAATCTGTGACTAGTTCATGAAACAAGTCAGATTGACATGTGGTTAGTTGTCCTTGCTTGGGAGGAGGACCGTCGAAAGCAACAAGCTATGAGGAAAAACCCAATGGGGTATTTCTCAAGTGAGTGTACACAGGTGTGCAGGCTGTCTGCCCACCTGGTCGTCGATGTAAACTACAACTGTGTCAAAGTCACATCGAACCAGGATCATCTGGCACAACACCGAATATAGAAGTAACATCGCAGTTTCTCCGAGGTGTGCAGGCTGTCTGCCCACCTGGTCGTCGATGTAAACTACAACTGTGTCAAAGTCACATCGAACCAGGATCATCTGGCACAACACCGAATATAGAAGTAACATCGCAGTTTCTCCGAGACTGCCAGCATCTCAAGTATGTTAATGGAACTTGAATGATGCTCACACAGGGCCTCACCAATCCGCCACTAGATGCGTGTGGTGGGCAGTTAACTGGCAGGGTAACATGTCCGCCATGACAGTTAATGAATTAGGCTGCAATCTGTGAGAGGCCCACCCTTGTAAGGTTGGCAACGCCGAACCACAGGAGGTACTGCACAAGTCAGGTCATGGCCTGCACTGAATGCAGTGAGGACTGGGCCGATACAAGCAAATAGGTGAATGCCACCAATCTTTGTTTCCACGGCGCAGTCATATCGCCTTTACTATCTGAGCAGAGGCCAGGAGTGAGGCGGAAAAAAGGCTGGATGGAGCCACCATGAAAATGCAGCGAGAATCTTGGTTTGAAAACCGCGAAATTCTCAGTGCTCTGGCCTAAAAATGAGTTGCAGTTGTGTACCCTTCAGACCAGGGCTCAACCCATGCTGATGTGTTAGACAGTCGACTAAATCTCATCAACATCTTTCCAAGGGAAATACAAGACGGGCGCAACACTGTGCTGGCCCGATGGTATTGATGTCAGCCTCAAAGTCTCTCTGACGAGCTCCTACGAGACAGATGGGTGGAGGTCGTCATGAGTCAGGTAGGTCACTTATGGAAATCATCAAAACAACTGAAGCCGAATCGAAATCGTTGTTACATTATCCTATGTGGCATGGCGTACAGAAAATGTTGCTAGCACGGCCACACAAAATCATCTGGGCAAACTTCAAGAGGTATGCAGTTGAGAAAACAAACAACTGTTTGTTCTTCACCTG